AAGTATTGGAGCTTCAGTTTCAGCATCAGTCCTTCCAGTGATTATTCAGGATTGATTTCCTTTAGGACTGACTGGTTTGATCTCCTTGCAGTCCAAGGGACTCTCAAGAGTCTTCTCAAACACCACAGTTCAGAAGCATCAATTTTTCGGCACTTCAGCCTTCTTTATGATCCAACTCTTACATCCATATATGACTACTGGAAAAACCATAGCATTGACTAAATGGACCTTTGTTGGTAAATTGAATGGACCTTTGTTGGTAAATTAATGTCTCTGCTTTTTTAATATGCTGTCTAGGTTGGTCATAGCTTTTCTTCCAAGGAGCCAGTGTCTTTTAATTTTTTGACTGCAGTAACCATCTGCAGTGATTTTGGAGCCCAAGAAAATAAAGTCTGTCACTGTTTCCACTGTTTCCCCATCTATTTGTCATGAAGTGATAGGACCGGATGCCTTGAATATAGGACCGAATGTTTTTGAATATTGAGTTTCAAGCCAGCTTTTTCATTCTCCTCTTTCACTTTTGATGGATGCTAAAATTAGCGGGCAGAAGATTGGGCAGACACAGAATATTTGTATGACCTCAACTTACTAGTGTAGAATCCTGGTAGACACCATGTATACAGAGTGATAAAGATTAATATCACTGGGGGAGAAAGACATATTGACATGCATCCTCAGATATGATGTACAGAGAGGAGAACATTGCTTCTGTCACATTCTTGCCATAAAGGCATAGCCATACCTGAGTCAGGAGAAAGAGCAAACAGACCCAAGAGGAGCCTGGCAGGCTACAGACCATGGGGCTGCCAAGAGTTGGGTAGAACTGAGCACATACACACAACACTAAAGTACAATCGACCAGTCCTCTTCAAAGCGTCACGGTCATGGAAGACAAGGGAAGCCTGGAAAAGACTTCCAGGAGATACAATGGCTAAATGCAGTGTGTGGTTCTAGTTTGCTCAGTTTGGATAATTTTACTGTGACCATACGGGATGTTAACATTAAGAAGCTGAATGAAAAGTACAAGAGAACTCTGTGTAATAGTTTTGCAACTCTTCTGTAATTGTAAGATGATTTCAAAATAAAAAGCTAAAAGTTCAACCAAAAATAGGAGAGAGAGAGAGATGTGAGGACATGAGAACAAAGACATGCAGTGGTTTGGGGACTTTATCTTAAAAAACTACAGACATTGTTACTGGCACACAGAGTTTGTAAGAAGCAAGTAGATAAGAGACAACTACATTTTGAGTGAGTTAAATTATGAAAAGAATTGTCAGTCTGGACTTCTAAAAAGACTCCCTGGCTGTTTGAAACTTAAAGTTACCTTTAGTGGTGGAATGATGTGGTTGGGCAAATGGTTCAGACCTAAGGAGGCTGTATTCCTCAACACACACTTCAGATAAAGTCAAAGGAGGACCATCGAGATAACATAGCTGGGGCCGGGGAACTTCTGCCAAGGAGCCGAATCAGAGCCTAATCAGAGTGAAAGGCTCCCAGGTTTGGGAATAGCTCTGCACAGTGTCTGCTGGGGACTCCCTTTCCTTTCCATTCTGAATGGGAGGGTTTCTGTGATTGTCCAGCTGCTGTTCACTTCTGTGCATTCCAGGTACATGCTGGGAGCCAGGGGCTGTGAAGGCCTTTGTCGCTTAGTTATGTTTCTGGAGTAAGAGGGACTCTTACTCCTGAGGATGAATAGTGTAGTTGTGTGAGAAAGAGAGTGAAACAGAGCATTTAATGGCTCAAAGGGCAGTCTTTTGTAGCCCTCAGTGCTTTCTCTCTCTATATATATATACACACATATATATATATATATGTGTGTGTATATACATATGTATGTGTGTATGTATGTATATATACACATGTATGTATGTATGTATGTGTGTGTATATATATATATGTATGTATATATATATACATATATATATAGGCTTCCCGGGTGTGCTGGTTTAAAGAATCCCCTGCCAATGCAGGAGACATAAGAGACACAGGCTTGATCCCTGGGCCAGGAAGATCACCTGGATGAGGGCACGGCAGCACACTCCAGTATTCTTGCCTGGAGAATCCCATGGACAGAGGAGCCTGGCAGGCTACAGTCCATGTTGTCATGAAGAGTCAGACATGATTGAAGTGACTTAGCATGCATGTATATATATATATATATCTGCTTTCCCTCCTTCCCGACACAGTAAGATTGCACTTCTCATCTCGTTGAAGTGAGGCATGGCCGCGTGGCTTGCTTTGGCCAACAAAAATGAGCAGAGTGGCACTGTTGCTTCTGAATCGAAGTATTTAATCAGCCACGTGAGGCTCTCTAGTGCTCTCCTCCCTGCCAGGGTGACCCGGTGTTCCAGAAGGTAGCAGCTTCCTCAGCTGATCCCAGGATGAGGATGACACAGGACAGAGCCCTTGCTGACCTGAGACTGACATGCAATTAGATGAGAAGCAAACATCTTTTGTTCTAAGTCTCTGAGATCGAGGGTGTTTATCACCACAGCCTAACCTAGCTTATCCTGATGGAACCACGGGACAATGCAGGAGTGGATGGCAGGCAGGAGAGCCACACCTGGATGTGTCTCATCTGGCTCCACTGGGCTCAGTAGCCATAGCTCAGTCCTTCAATGGCCATCCCCTCCACCATGTGGGGCAGGGCTTGGCTTCTGAAAATCCCAGGAAAAGAGGGATGCAGGCCTGGATCTGTGGTACATTGACCAGGCCTTTTCTTCCATATCATTTTGTTTTTGAATTCATTCTTCTGAGGATGCCTGAGTGGCAGGAAAAGGAAAGGGTTGCATCAGGTCTATTAAACAGGGGGCTGGCCCAGGAGCTGGAAGGTGATGTGCACAGCCATGGAGATCACCCTGCCTTCACATATTGTGTCTGTTGAGTAGCCCAGAGACCTGGTTCTAGGTCTTACTGTTCAGAAACTCACTAAGAATAGACTAACAGCTGCTCTTGGGGTCTCAGTCTGCACAAATTAATCGAGGAATTGGGACAGATGGAAATATCTTCAAATAAGTCTTTTTTTGTTGTTGTTCAAGGAGTTCTTTAATGAGGATGACACAGGACAGAGCCCTTGCTGACCTGAGACTGACATGCAATTAGATGAGAAGCAAACATCTTTTGTTCTAAGTCTCTGAGATCGAGGGTGTTTATCACCACAGCCTAACCTAGCTTATCCTGATGGAACCACGGGACAATGCAGGAGTGGATGGCAGGCAGGAGAGCCACACCTGGATGTGTCTCATCTGGCTCCACTGGGCTCAGTAGCCATAGCTCAGTCCTTCAGTGGCCATCCCCTCCACCATGTGGGGCAGGGCTTGGCTTCTGAAAATCCTAGGAAAAGAGGGATGCAGGCCTGGATCTGTGGTACATTGACCAGGCCTTTTCTTCCATATCATTTTGTTTTTGAATTCATTCTTCTGAGGATGCCTGAGTGGCAGGAAAAGGAAAGGGTTGCATCAGGTCTATTAAACAGGGGGCTGGCCCAGGAGCTGGAAGGTGATGTGCACAGCCATGGAGATCACCCTGCCTTCACATATTGTGTCTGTTGAGTAGCCCAGAGACCTGGTTCTAGGTCTCACTGTTCAGAAACTCACTAAGAATAGACTAACAGCTGCTCTTGGGGTCTCAGTCTGCACAAATTAATCGAGGAATTGGGATAGATGGAAATATCTTCAAATAAGTCTTTTTTTGTTGTTGTTCAAGGAGTTCTTTGCTCACAAATAACATAAAACTGAGTGGCTCAGAACTTACTTTCCGCTACCTATTCCTGTCCCCCAAGGAGCAGTGGCCCTGCATTTTCTCTAAGGAATCCCTAAAGCTCCTTGGAACACAGTTTGGAAACCCCTGAAGGCTCTGGTAGTTCAGATCGGCTGTGACTTCCCAGGATTCAGGAGCACAGAGTGCAGGTCAAATCTCAGGCACCCTGAACTGGCAACATGCTGTTTGACTGGGGCTCTCTGGGCCTCGGCCTCTCGGGCCTGAGCCTTCAGCACTCAGGGGTCTGCTTGCACCAGACAGAAATGCTCTCCTTCACATTGTTGGGAGGATCAAAAGAGACTCAGAAAGAGAACATTTTTCCCTGGGTAAATCTAGGTTTTCATGCTGTATGTGTTAATACCCAGACTCCTCAGGAGTCCCCAACCGCATACCCCTGTACTTTGGGAAAAGCTGGCATGGTGCTTTGAAGTCTGATTGCTGTGAGTCCAAATTCCTCAATCTGCTGTGACCTTGGAGGAAAAAGTTACTTCAGTCCTATCTGTTTCAGTGTTCTTATCTGTAAAGTAGGGTTCTTATAATCATAGCAACTGGTCCCCAGAACTGGGAGCGATAAATGAGTTCATGCATGGGAAATCCGGAGCTGGGTGCCTGGCCAGGAGAACACATCTGTGAACAGCATCTTCAGTGTCATTGTCCCCACATTTGATGGAGTCATTTCATGAAGTTATAGAGTCATTTCACAGCCTTGTGTGAACATTTTTCCTCCATTAGGCATCTTGAACAACCTATTTCCAATCCCACACACTTCCTCCACTGGCCCCAACCCCGAGCCTAAGCTCCCCACACGGAACCAGCACAGAAAAGAAAATCAGTGTTGCGCTGAATAGATCTGGCTAACTTGGTGATCTCCAAGGTGTAACACAAATCAGGACCAATAATTTCCCAGCATGGTCTCATTCAGCAACTTGCTCATTATAGCAGGTTAAAACCCAGTAGGAGTGTTCATGAAATTCTAACACAAGTAGTTCCAAAATGAAAAATTTAATACCAACACTACCAAAAACAGCAGCAAGTGCTTCTGTTAACCCTCCTCTGGTCCACATATTAATGAACAATCAATTGGTCTGCTCTAGTCCCTGCAACTCATCATTATTTGCATCAGAGTGTAGACATAATCCAAGCCTGTTATGTTTCAGTGTGGCTCTGAAGGAGTTAAGTGAAATAAAGAATATTATCAATATTGTATCAGTCACAGATGAGAAACTACATACCAGGATCAGTGTAATTCATTCATTGGTTTATGGACACCAAGTCCTCCGGGGACTGTCACAAATCCACTTGATGTTCCTGAGTGTGAGATTTAGCATTTGGATCTTTGATTTAGCTGAAAGATGTGTAAAAACTCATGCAGTCAGACAACTCCCTACAGGCGATTCATCTGTGTTGGCTTTTACGTAACAGTTATTCCAATCAAGTGCAGCAGTAACTTAAGCTCCATAACTTGCTTCTGAATTCACATTTCTGAGATGCTGGAGTGTGGACAAATGGTGGTAGGGGCAAGAATGTCCCTCTGGGAGAAGGGAGCCTTCTTGCTCTCTTGTTTCCTTGGGATGAGCAGGCACCACCTGGGGAGGACATGTAGCTCCTGATTTCCATGCCTCCAGACCTGCATGAGGTTCTGTTTTCTGATGCTGGATGCAGACTAGGCATGGGTGGGGGAGAGCCATGAGCCCCCAGGAGACAAGGACACTGAGGGCTCTCAGAGCTGTAGGTGGGGGTCCTTAGGGGTCTCCAGGATTCGCAGCCGTTCCCTGGCTAGTGCAGCAGGGGGCAGATGGGGAAGATCTGTAAAGCTGCAGCAGATCAGCTAACCCAGGTGGGAGACAGAGCTCTGTGGTTAATGACTTGATGGAGAGTGGTTCTCATTTTCCTCCTCCAGGATTCCTGCCACGTCCCTCACCACAGCCGCCTCGGTCCAGCTCCGAGTCTCTCTTTGATTTCTCATCACCTGCACCAAAAGTGGGGGAGGAGGAGCAGAGGGTCGCATCCTCTTAGTGTCTCCAGTGAGAATAAAAACACAAGTGGGATGTTCTGTGTACAAAATCAGAGACATAAAGAGAGGCAATGGTATCTCTATATGAATGGGCTACAAATACCATTGTTATTAATAGATATTTATAGACAATAGACAATAATAGATGATAGATGATAATAGACGATATTAATAGACGATAGACAGGCTTAGTGAGAATCAGCACTGCATGGAGAAGGCCCTTCCATGGATGAAACATTTAATCTTCACGGAAAACTTGTGAGAAGAGGAAACTAAGGTAAAGACTGCTTAATAAGTTGTCTACTGTCCCCAGTAGACAGTAGAACTGTCTGGGTTTCAAAACCGGATCTGTTGGCCCTGGAAGTGATACAATCACTGCACCAACATACTTCTTTTCATCCATGGCCTCAGGCACTTTCCAGCCCCCCTGAGGGAGAGATTTACAAGCAGAATAGCTGTGGTCACAGGGGCTACAGAGGAGTACAGAGACCTCTGTCAGGAGGTCTGATCTCTCCAGAGGTATGTAATACCTCCAGGAAGCAAAGGATGGAGAATGCCCCTGAGATTGGGGGTGCCACCGAGCAAGGAGCTTGGCACAAAGGACCACATTAGGCTGGGTTCTGAGCTGGAGGAGCCAGGAGTGAGGTTTTGCCAAATCGTACATTCAGGTACTCTGTCAGCTGAACACTTGCCTTCCAGCAAGAGAAGAACTGGCTTTGAGAAGCAGACATTCACTGAGGCAGGACAAAAAATTAGTCAAGCAGAAGATGGAACTGAAGAGAATACACAGAAGGTGGCACAGAAAGTTAAAGATCTGGGCAATAGGAGAAGTGGGGGACCCAAAGGATAGAGCCAAGGCCCAGTCCCAATACCTCAGCGAGGAGGTCTGGTGTACAGACTTCCAGGAACGGAAGATGGAGAGTAGGGGAAAGAGGCAGTTTCTGGACAGATAATGGAGAGGAACTCTGCAGCATGGATGAAAGACATAAATCCTCAGAATCAAGAATCACAAAGAGTCCCAAGCGGGATTAAAAAAAAATAAATAAATCCACAGTAGGACACATCACAGCCAAAATAGGAAAAAAAAAATAAATGAGAGAGATAAGGAAAAAAAAAAACTAGTTATGGTCAAAAGAGACATGAGGGCATTCCTTGGGCTTGTGGAGCATCACCAGACAGCCACTCTGATCTCATTGGACCATGTTATCTGTGACCACTTCCTGCCCCTTCCTGGGACTTGAAGACTCACATCAGAGAGCCAATACCTAGAGGGGAAGGTGAGGTGGGGAAACCAGCAGGGAAGGCTCCTGTCCGTCCCTGACGGACAGCAGGGTACTGTGGTCCGGCAGTATGTACTCACACCTTCGAGCTGGAGGAGAGGGGAGTGGAAAGGCGTGGGGACTGATCACAGTGGCCATGGGAGCATTTGCCGCTCACCTCTGGTGGATCCAGGCAGGAAGCCTCCCCTTTCCTCTCAAACACCCACGAGGGAAGATGGTCGTGTAAAGCCCCTGGCACCCAAGGAGTGTTGTCAGGCCAAGAGCAAATGCTTGCTGAGCACATACTGAGCAAAGCCAGCCGTCCATGTGGGCCACATATCGCACTCTCACTGCAAGCCTATGAGGAGGCATTATGCCCCTGACTTACTCAGGGTGACTCCCTTGCTAGCGAGGGTCATAGAGCCACCGGAATATGAACTCAAGCAGTCAGTGCTGGGGGCAGGGGTGGGGGGTCACGAAACTCTCATTTCTTCTAAGGGAAATATGGAACTGACAAAGGTGGGGGCAGAGGAAGCACACAGAAATCCCATTTTGGAAAAATGAATGGGCCTGTTTTAATCTTACACCATAGAATCCAACTCAGCAACACTTACAGAGCACCCACTGTTTGTACAACCTGCCTGGCCTCCCCTGGGGTGGCTTCAGGCCCGTCTCGTCACTGGTGCCCCGGTTGTGTGCGATGGGGGAGCCCGAAGCTAGCCCTGTGTCCCGGGCGAGGTTCTCGCCTCTGCTGGCCCAGGAGCCAGCGCCGCTCAGATGCAGTGACTTCCTCAGGCTCTGGGTTTTAAAGAGCCTTGGCTTGAAACTGTTCCATTTGGGAGGGTTTCTCCCTAGCATTTGGTATGGAATTATTACCAAATGCTAGAGAGAAACCCTGCCAAATGCTGTATATCAGCTAAAACCCAAACTCCTAAACAATGAAATATTTATAATAAAAACAGACCCCGGAGAGGGGCACAGACTGGGGTTCCCAGCTGGCGAGGGGCTGCTGGCTAAGGTGGCCCAGTTGGCCTTGCCTGCTGGTGCAGGTAGAGCTGCTAAGCGGCAGGTGCCAGGCAAGGCAGGTGTGGCTGGGCGAAAGGGCTCAGGAAGGCAAGAGAAGCTGGAGGTCTTGCAGCCCCGTCCTCAGAGAAGACACCCTTCCTCGAGATCCTGAAGGTGTTGCTCAGCCTTTTTCTCCCTAGGGTCCCCCCTCCCCGTCTTCCAGTGGGGAGCTTCACATTCAGCAGGCACTCAATAAATGCTGACTGCCTGCAAGTGTGGATAATTTCAGTAACGGCAAAGCCCAGCCCATCTGGAACCCACAGGGAACAAGATCGAGACAGTTGAGTTTTCCAGAAAGAGCCATAAATTACTTTCATGGAACATTTTCAGATGGAAATATTTCTAAGATGTGGTACACGTTTCCTTTCTTTCTTACTTGGAGAATGTGGAACACCATTAACCTTTCCGTAATGGCTCAGGGTTGCCGCTGTGAACCTCAGATGCTGAGCGGGCGGTAACGCAGCCCCCCGGGGCTCTGGAGGTGTGCAGGGGTGTCTGCCCTCCACTAATGGCCTCAGACTGTGGAGCTTCCTCTGGTTCTGGTCTATTTTGTAGAGACTTTTGGGTTCTTCCAGTTTCCATCCTTGCCCACATGGTTGTCTCTGGCAGTCCTTTTCTCTCTTCCTAAATTACAATTTTTAATTGACTGTGGACCAGAAACCAGAACTCTAGGCTTAACAGAGTTTTGTGAAAAGGAAGCATGCTTGGATTGAGCATCTTACAGGCCTGAGTTAAATCCAGAAACTTGAGGCTTCTGTAGTCACTGTTTAGGCCACTCAGGTTTATTCTTGCTTTTCCTCTTGATTCACCACCACATTGTGGAAAAGGCAGTTGACAGCTTGGAAAGTAACTACTCTTCTTCAGAGATGCTCGGGAAATTCCTGAGAATGCTGACCACCAATCTCTAAGTATCCCGCAGACATTAGACTTTGGAAGCCTTTTCAAAACAACTGTACTTCTTATGAGCTTTATTTTTAAACAACAAGCATGTGGGTTATTACATCTCTGTTTGGAAGACTGGAAACTGGGGCCAGGGGAGCGATCACAGAGGCCGACTGAACACCTTGGACACAGCAGTAGAGGCGAATCAGCTGGAGTCTGAATGAGTCTGGATCGCAGGAGGAGAAAGCTGCATGGCCAAGTGGACATGTGTGGGGGTCTGCTGCAGAGCCATTTAAGGCAGGGCTTCCCAGGTGGCGCTAGTGGTAAAGAACCCACCTGCTAATGCAGGAGACATGAGATGCCAGTTCGATCCCTGGGTCGGGAAAATCCCCTGGAGGAGATCGTGGCAACCCACTTCAGTATTCTTGTCTGGAGAATCCCATGGACAGAGGAACCTGGCGGGCTACAGCTGCCAAGAGTCAGACGCAACTTAGTGACTGGGCACACTCATGAAGTGCAGAGCTATTTGCAGAGGCGCCAGCAGGGTTGAGAGAGCCCACAGAGGGTGGGGAAGTGCCCCGGAACCAGCAGCTCAGGAAGCTCTTATCCTCCGCTGTGCCCTCAGCAGTGGGCACAGGGCTGCCACATGACAAGCATTCCAGCTAGAGAAGCCGAGAGCCTGCCGTGCCCCAGCCCGCTGGGGTGGGGACACACCCCACACTCTTTCCTCCAGTGCTCCAGGCTCCTACTGGTGCCTCTCGCTGTGAACTGACCTCCAAGCAGGAGGAAAAGGAAGTTGGGGCAGGGAGTCCATAGAGGTCACCTTCCTGGGCCCAGAGTGGCGTGCAGAAGGGGGGACAGCGGACTCAGAGCAGCAGGTGGAGAAATCCGCACAGAGCCGGGTAGACAAGGCTGCCTCCCACTGCACGGCGATTCTGAAGACGTTTCCCTGTGGTCCACTGTCTGTACCCAGGGGCAACAGACACACCCTTGTAGGAAGGACGATGAGACTGTTGTGAGCCCGCAGACCTGGCAGTCCCACCAAGGGATTGCCTTCTCTCTGCCACAGAGGGGAAGTCCTTGTGAGCCTTCGAGACCAAGCCGGGGGCTTCTCATCCCTCTTCCCTCCAAGCTGCTGCACTTAGCTGCAGAGGCTGGGTAGGACAAAGGCAGCTCAGAGCAGTGGGACATGCATGAATCTGAAAACGGGCACGCAGAGCCCTGGGGCTCAGCTCTCTCGAGTGAATATTCCTAGAGCTCCAGGGTCTGTGTCGGTAAAGCGGTGATAGCCCTGTGCTCTCCCGGCCGCTGTGGGAATGAGACAGCAGACCAGGGAGCCCTTGACAAACTCAAAGGGACCACGCAGCTGAGAGGTACTTGGATTGAAGTCCCCGTTGCCTGAGGAAGGGTCAGCAGTGGTTCAGCAGCGAGCACACTCCTTCCCTTCCTGGACAGGCCATTTGTGTCTGCCGTCCATCCTGGGCCGTGCTGGGCTCCGTGGTGGCAGATGCTCAGAATCCAGAGTGGCCAGACCTGGGCCCTGCCCTGGCCCCATGCTCAGTGGTGAGAGTCCTTCAGGTCTCTGCCCAACACACCTGTGCAGGTGTCTCCCTCCTCCCATGACCTAGCCTTCCCTGAATCCAAATTTCAGGTGCACTTAAATGATTTGTTGATGTGCCTGTTATATGACATTTAGAAATCACTGGACTCTACCAAGAATTAAAAATTAACTCATCCATAATTTCACTATCAAGGTGAGGGTGAATTTCCCCTAGTAATTTTGTTCTTGGCATATTATATGTTTGTAACAAACATGTATGTATAAGATACACCACACAAAGAAGCTGCAAGGAAAATCACCATGTGTCCCTGTCCTCTGGTTAGTACATGGAGCGTATCACGGATCACAAGCTTGCTTTAAGCAAGAGTATATCTATATGTGTATATAAACTAGGGATTGGCTTGTGAGTAGTTTTTTACCCCATTGTTTTTTTCTTTTGCTTTCCCCATATGCTGTAAAATTGATCATACAGTTTTGATTAATGCAACTCCCCAAGTTACAAAACTCTCCTCTTTCACCTAACACTGGCATTTTGTGAAATGCAGAAATATAGATTCATTTATTCACACACTCACTCATGACCAGGTACAGAGTCTGTGAGGTGGCAGCCCTGTGCTCAGGTGCTGAGGATGCAAGTCTTGATGGACAAGACCCAGCTAAGCCTTGACAGCTCCAGACTAAAGGCTAACAGGCGGGCTAAGGTGGGCACAGCAGACCCCAGCACCTGGAGGCTCTGCTCGTGCAAGCCCCCAGCCTGACTCCACAGCCCTCCTTGTCCACACAGGGCCTGCCACATGGGCGCTGCCTCTTGCCCTGATCTACTCCTGAGAGAACCTCCTGCAAACCCCACCTTCACTATGTCTGGTCCTGACATTGCCCCTCTTACCCAATATGGCCCCTCGGTCCCTAAAGCAGCCTCTCAGAGGCCAGAGACCACACTCACAATGTTCAGGGCTTGTATTGTTAGTTTCATCTTTAAACTCCTGAATTGTGACTTATTTCAAGTCTCACAGGTACAAAATTCATCTTCAAGAGATAGTCTTTAAAAAATATTTTTTCTCTATGGATTAGCTTCCAGAATGTCAGTTCTGACGTGTCTCATTTTGTAAAGAGACAGAACACATTCTGGACGGTGGTAGGAAGGCCAGACACAGTATCCATCTGGTCAACATTCTATCTTTTTTGTGGGTCTGTCTGGGGGTGCAGCTCTATAGCTGTGGTGACTATACTTCCCTTGCGGGGCACAGTGGGAGATTTATTCCCACCCCTTTTATGGGGTGCTTCTTATCAGGCCTGGCACTTGTAAGTGGTGAAAACGGCAATGTGTATTATCTAGAAAACTCTTACCTTCTCATAGCAATCACCACAAAGGCCAGGCAGACAGTTACAACAGAAAAATCTCAGGGTGTCAGCGTGAGATGACTTGGCTCCCAAAGTGGCATCTGAAAAATAAACAGTTTTGATTAATGCAACTCCCCAAGTTACAAAACTCTCCTCTTTCACCTAACACTGGCATTTTGTGAAATGCAGAAATATAGATTCATTTATTCACACACTCACTCATGACCAGGTACAGAGTCTGTGAGGTGGCAGCCCTGTGCTCAGGTGCTGAGGATGCAAGTCTTGATGGACAAGACCCAGCTAAGCCTTGACAGCTCCAGACTAAAGGCTAACAGGCGGGCTAAGGTGGGCACAGCAGACCCCAGCACCTGGAGGCTCTGCTCGTGCAAGCCCCCAGCCTGACTCCACAGCCCTCCTTGTCCACACAGGGCCTGCCACATGGGCGCTGCCTCTTGCCCTGATCTACTCCTGAGAGAACCTCCTGCAAACCCCACCTTCACTATGTCTGGTCCTGACATTGCCCCTCTTACCCAATATGGCCCTTCGGTCCCTAAAGCAGCCTCTCAGAGGCCAGAGACCACACTCACAATGTTCAGGGCTTGTATTGTTAGTTTCATCTTTAAACTCCTGAATTGTGACTTATTTCAAGTCTCACAGGTACAAAATTCATCTTCAAGAGATAGTCTTTAAAAAATATTTTTTCTCTATGGATTAGCTTCTAGAATGTCAGTTCTGACGTGTCTCATTTTGTAAAGAGACAGAACACATTCTGGACGGTGGTAGGAAGGCCAGACACAGTATCCATCTGGTCAACATTCTATCTTTTTTGTGGGTCTGTCTGGGGGTGCAGCTCTATAGCTGTGGTGACTATACTTCCCTTGCGGGGCACAGTGGGAGATTTATTCCCACTCCTTTTATGGGGTGCTTCTTATCAGGCCTGGCACTTGTAAGTGGTGAAAACGGCAATGTGTATTATCTAGAAAACTCTTACCTTCTCATAGCAATCACCACAAAGGCCAGGCAGACAGTTACAACAGAAAAATCTCAGGGTGTCAGCGTGAGATGACTTGGCTCCCAAAGTGGCATCTGAAAAATAAGTTCCAAGGGTCTAGTGTAAGGTCTAATGTATAGTTAAGAGGACTGTGTTGTGTACTTGACTTTATTTTCTTGGGCTCCAAAATCACTGAGGACAGTGACTGTAGCCATGAAATTAATAGACGTTTGCTCCTTGGAAGAAAAGCTATGACAAACCTAGAGAGTATACTAAAAAGCAGAGACATTACTTTGCCAGCAAAGGTCCATATAGTCAAAGCTATGGTTTCTCCAGTGGTCATGTATGGATGTGAGAGTTGGACCATAAAAAAGGCTGAGTGCCGAAGAATTGATGCTTTCAAAGACTGGTGTTGGAGAAGACTCTTGAGAGTACCTTGGACTGAAAGGAGATAAAACCAGTCAATCCTAAAGGAAATCAACTCTGAATATTCATTGGAAGGACTGATGCTGAAGTTCCAATCCTCTGACCACCTGATGCGAAGAGCCGGCTCATTGAAAAAGTCCCTGATGCTGGGAAAGATTGAGGGCAGGAGGAGAGGGGGAATGACAGAGGACGAGATGGTTGAATGGCATCACCAACTCAATGGACATGAGTTTGAGCAAGCTCTGGGAGATGGTGAAGGACAGGGAAGCCTGGCATGCTGCAGTCCATGGGGTCACAGAGTGTTGGATAAGACTTAGCGACTGAACAACCAGAACAACATATATCAAATCATCTTAAACTTACACAATGTTACATGTCAATTATATGTTAATAAAGCTGGGAAAGATGCATCTGACTTCATGGGGTGTCTGGATGTGTCTCACTCCAGAGGATTCCTAGTGTTGCCATCACAGCTCTAGCCACGAGCAGGTGCTTGTGAGGGAGGCATTGTGGGCCTCTGGGGATTCAGTCATAACCTGATTGTCTTGTTAACTTCTAGCTATGCTAGTGACTGCACTGATTAGTACTGCTGGAAAACTGGACTTTCTTATACTAGCAACTGTGTTTCCACCAGTCAACATCAGGAAGGTCAACTTCACTGCTGCGCTTGTAAAAAGATGAATAAGTAATTCATAAAATATCCACCCATGGCCTGTCAAGCATTCCACAGATACTAGAGAATAGAGGCAAAGGGCAAGAGCGAACCCAAATTCAGGCCTCAAACTCAGTTCCCTTTTATAAATGTGTGACCTGCAAGTGTGTCCTGGACAAGAGACTGAGTTCTCCCCCAGCCTGCTCTGCTTGTCTGTGACAAGGCTGGGGAGTTTCAGGAAGATGGGGTGAAGTTGGAGTGCGGCCATTCTGGACACACAAACTTAGATCTGATAGTCTAAATTTTTTACGGGCAGGACGCACCCTGGATGCTGTGGGTGGGCTTCTCTATTCCTGTTAAGAGTGGGTGCCCTCTGCAGAAAAGAATGCTCACAGGTGGCCTGCATTGAGGGGTGGAGCAAGTTCAGGGCTCCCATGGCACATTGGAAGTGGACACCACTGAGAGGTCTCCAGAGCGCTGAGCCACTGGAGAAAACAGTGTGGGACATTGTCTTATTCTTTTTTGATGAAAAAGCGCACACAAGATATTTACATATCATTGGCAGGTGTTAAGTGAGTGCTTACTTTGTAGCAGGCATTGCACTACGGGTTAACTCCCTGAGTTCTCCAAAGAAGCCCATGAGATAGGAGCTCATTATTTAGATATGGAGGTCAAGGCACAGAGGAGTTAAGTAAATTTCCTAAGGTCACATAGCTCTAAGGTTGCAGAGGTGGGATTTGAATCCAGGTGGTCTGGCCATATAGCCCATGCTCAGTCACTCTAGGAAATATCTCCCCATTTCTGCTTTGGAGCAACAGTAAAATCATCCCTAGCGGCAAGATGGCCCTGGAGTGAGCAAGGAGAGAGAGGGGTCTGGAGACAGTTTCTGACTGGGCATCTGGCAGGAAGGCTGGATCAGGCTCCTGCAATGACATCTCACTGATACTGGCTGGATACATCCCCCCACTGGACACAGCCCATATGAGGAGTGAAAACCAAGAGATACAGTGTTTCAGTTGAAGCCCAGAAGGTCCTACTTGTCCCCTAATGGGGACTGAGGGACATATCAAGGGTTCTAAAGTTGAGAGGTGAGTCTGGGGGTAATAGGAACCAGCAGAAAATTTCACACCATCATCAGAATTAGAAGGCCAAACTATTCGCAACAAATGTATCTGCCTAAGAGTTAATATTCTTTTATGAGTTTGTAAAATAAGTCCTAAAGTTCTCCCCCTTCCCTGACCCCTAAAAGGCAGGAAGAAACATGAGTGGGGAAGTACATGGTAGGGTGGGGCCTTTCTGGAAAGACAGTTGGCAATGTCTTGAGGAGCCTGAAAACCCTCCATACCCACAGACCCAGTAACTTCACCTCCAATCACTGATACTAAGAAAATGAACAGAGATGCAAAGGTTTCTTTTGAGAGAACAAAAAAATTAGAAACAGTTTAGATGTTCTAAAATAAGAGATTGTTTAAATAAATTTTGTTGCATCCATTTGATGGAACATTATGTAGCCATAAAATCATGTTTTCAAAGGATATTTAATGATGTGGGGAAATACCTTGTGCTACAAGGTTAGAGAATAAAAGCAGGACACAAAATTTTTATACAGAATGATTCAAAGTTTGTATAAAATAGAAATGTGCAGAAAAATACTTGGAAGGAAAAGCATAAAAGGCTGGCAGTGTGAGATTGAGGGATATAATTGTCTTCTTCATATATTTCTGTTTTCTAATTATTCTTCAATATGTATTGAGGATTACGTTCTATCAGGAAAATAACTGTTAATTCTTAAAAGTTGCAACTAACTTCTAGTGATGACAACACATTTTAAGTCATGCTGTCACGAATTCATTCATTCATTCAAGGAGTCAATAAAAGTTAAAACAGTACCTGAACATACTGTGAATTATTTATGTTTTAGAATTAATTTCTTCATTTGCTTCATCAGCACTCTTCACATGCCCCATATTGCCAGGGGCTGGGCTAGGTCTGGGGTCTAGCGGTGAAACAGGCTTGAGTTCTGCCCTCTTGAAGCTTGCAACCCTGGGTAGGGAGGCCCCACAGCCGTGGGAGGGCCCCATATTGGGACCCTGAGAGCCAGAGGTGGGCTGGATAAGCTGCAGCGGACATAACTGTCTCAAACATTCACTCCGATGACCAGGTTTGTCCTCGGCTACTAGTGTGGTTTCAGACTTGCCTTCTCATGCTCTTAACATTAGCCCATCAGTTTCTACTCTACCAGATGACCTTCCCATGAACAGGCTGCAAAGCACTCTTGAGGATTCTGGAGCCCTCATGGGATTCTAGAGCACTCAGAAGCACTCAAGAATCTTGGGTGCAAGTGTAGATATAGCCTGTCAGAGACTCTCTAGAGATTCAAGCAGACTCTCTGAGCTAGTCCTCCTATTTCTTTGGCGATACACCATCTGATTTCACTTTCTTTCCCTCCCGGAGCCTGGCACCATCAGCACACATTTGACCCTGAGCACATTTCTATCCACTCTCATATCTTCCTCTTATGATTCTCCAAGATCTGTAAGGCTCAACTCAGTCCTTTGGATCAGGATTTAAAGATGAAGTCTCCAGAGTAATGTTGCTTCGAAGGCCTAGCCTCCTACCTGCACCCCCTCCACCCACCCAGATCACTGCCCACCCTCAGCACTGTGGCCTGTGCCCTTGGCATGTCCAGAGAAGGCTTATGAGGGTTCTGAATACTGGCCAGAGTCAAGAGACTTGCTTTTTGCCTGAATTTGGTCTTTTTCATTTGCTTTCTACTTGCTTCCTTGCAGTATTTACTCACGGTAACCTTGGGGATCATTCCTGATAACTCTGTATGACCTACAGACCAAGTCACATCTCTGAGTCAGACACTAGCTATACATTCTCTGGAAAACTGTATTTTTCCAATATTTGGTCCCGTTTGTTTCTAGTGACAAAAAAAGAGTGTGTACCTCTTCCTAAGGTAAAATCAGGGCTAATAATTGGAACTTGGGAAAAGCAGGAGTCAGGTCATGGTTGTGTGGTA